TAGGGTTTAGGGTATTGTTATTTGTGTGGTGGTTCATGCTCCAGGATGCATGAATATATATCTTCACGGAGGCGGTAATGGTAGTTCTGGCGCCACTGCCCCTGCTGCTACGAAGACGATGGTCATGACATGCATGCACACCGTTGCCATCATCATCATCCTCTTGTTCACCTCCGATTTTGACCATCGCTGTCGTTGAAACAGCCGTGTTGTGGTTAGCCCGACATGGTTCAGCTGCAAGGCGCCTCATCCAATCATCTTGCACTGTGATCTTCAATGCAACCTATGCGCCACCCTTGAATGTAGAGCTCCCTACTCAAGATTTCCTTCCCTCTAATATAGGGGCCTTATTAATTACCTATGCTATTTGGGGGTTCCTGATTACAATTATAGTATACTATACCTCCAAAGCCCTATTCTAACTATTTAGGCCCCTATATTATAGTAGTGGGCCAAAGCCGCAAAGAGGGCCAGACCGTGGGACCTTGAATCCCAAGCCCGCAACTCCGGGATTGCAAGATAACGAAGGATGACTTTCAATCCCCAAACCCTCAAGCGCCTAATGTAGGGGCCTTCATGATTAAGATAGGATGTTATACTATAAATACAAGAAGGATTGTGTTCACAGTAGTCTTGGTAATTGTTTTGACCCCTCTATTACACCGTCAGCTGCTGATACCCCGCCAAGGACGGATCTCTTGAGGAAGATGGCGTGCTGGAGCCGTACATGCGAGACGGCTTCGTGCCCACACGCGCGTTTGCGTCAGGTCTTGTCGCATCCTAAGGCAAGGGTCCAAGTACCTTGTGTTCGTACAGAGGTTGTAGTGGGATTGCGGGGTGGCGCCGTGCCCATCCATTTTGGGCCAGGGTTTGGCAGCTGATTTTCCACAGTACAGAATGTGTAGGTGCGGGGTTGTGGCCGAAGATGCAGGTACAATCCGGCCACTTCACTCTAAACCCTAAACCCTATCTTCTACTGTTTCCCTGAACCACGGTCACAATCCGAAACCCCCGGCCTTCACCCTCTCCGGCAAGAGGAAGATGCTGCATACTCACCAGTCATAGCTGCTTCAAGGCTGCTTCGCGTGGGAGATCACCGTAAACTTCCAACCCCCGCTCCTAAGAAAGTCTTAAAGTCAACCCTGAGGCCCTTTCCAGCCCCAGCTTCCCGAAACCCAAACCCTACACCCTAAAGAATCCTAAAGACTTATGTAATCCTTCGCCTTATAGCCCTAAACCCTAATCCCGAAGTCCTAAAACCCTATAACACCTAAACCCCCCCTAAACCCTGGACCACTGAACCCTAAACCCCAAGCCAGGTCACCTACTTTCCACGATTTTCCTGGTGGGCCCTGGGCCCGCTGGAGACTCGGTTGGCCCTGAGCCATCCTGTGCCCGTAGGACTTATACAGAGGCCCCAAAAGTAGTTCCTTTTTGGGATTACCTTATAAGGTTCTATATATGAACCCCAAAAGGGAACTACTTTGGGGCTTCTGGGTATATAGAAAGAGGATCTAGGGTTGCCTTGAAGGGGTCCTTAAAGGGTTTCATCAGGGATCTATATAGGGTTTAGGGTTGTAGTCTCGGTTCCTGAGTAGTACCCTTTTGCCCTGAGGGTTCCTCAAAAGGGCTCTATAAGGGCTCTATGGGGGTTCTATGCGGGTTTAGGGTCTACCAGGTTCCTGAGTAGTACCCTTTTGCCATATGTTTTAAACAGGTCCCCTTATTAAAACCGAACAGTAGGAAATAAGGGTACCCTTGTTATAAATGGGCTACTCAGGAACCTCGTATGGGACTTGGAAACACGCGTAGGCTGTAGCGTTCAGGGCTTCCAGGGTTTGGTTTAACCCAGAAGCACCCATTCAAGCCCCAAAAAGACCATGCTTATCATGGTTTTGGGGACCTCATTCCATGATGGTGGCATATATGAAGCGCTCTTGGTAAGTTTGTGGGCCAAAGGTCAGGCCACAGGCAAACGGGTTGAGGGCCACTACCCGACTGTACAGAGGCTCAGCCCAAGAAAACGATCCGTTTGGTTCCAGGTAGGGCTTATGGCTAGGGTTTAGGGTTTAAGGGGTTTAGATTTGTAAGTAGGCAGTTTAGTGTGCACAAATAGTAGCTAGGGGGTATTAACTCTTAGCGGTGATGGCATAGGTGTGAACTCAACCTGTAGCAGACGTTCAAGGCGGATTTGGGGTGCATTGGTTGAATGGTGTTCATACTGCTCTCAAGCCTAAACCCTGAACCCCAAACCCTAATCATAAAGGAGCTTTAAAAAATCCTAAACCCTAAACCAGGTCTCTGGGGACTTCTTGGATATGGGGAGTTTTCCAGGATCCTTTGTTCATGATGTCCAACAGGTTACCGCACTCTCCATAGTAAGACGCCTTACTAACAGGGACTGCGTCATGATGTATAGAACGACCCACAAAAGTTTGCTTTCAACAATATGCTCAAGCAAGGCTGAGCTCGAAGGGCCTGGTATCCCCTTGCAGTTCTCTCATTCTTATTTAAGTATAGTACAGTCATGGACAAGGGTATACCCCAGAACTCCACTCTACTTCTTGAGGCTTGCATGTTGGGAGCCTCGCAGGGTAGGGTCTTCTAAATGAGGGACGTGACGGAACGGTTCCCAACAACCTCCCATGCCAAAAGCATAAGATAATCCCACAACCTAAAAACCGGCTGCGCCCAGCGACCCCCACAACCCGAACACCAAAACCCAACAGACAGCGGATTGAATGCGGGTAGCTCTCTACGAAAAGGGTCCTTTTGAAAGGACACCCTTTTATAAGCTGTTGTAAACTCCAGTCTGTTTGAGATTGTTTTGCTTTGTTCAGATAAATCCCAAGAGAATGTTTAAATGACTTCTTTCACTATGGTTCTAAGGGAGGTGTAGTAAAAGGGACCCGAATTTCAACTACCCATATCCAGGCACTTGGGTACTGCCCCCAGTCAGTAACAGTTGAATAACATTCATAATATAGAGATATAAGGACCTTAACAGTAGCCCTATTATAGACTGTTACTGTACGGGGGCCGTACCCAACCAGGCACCCTAAACCCTAAATCCTAAACCCTAAACCCTGCTCCCTTGGAACCCTAAACCCTAAAACCCTAAACCCTAAACCCTCCTCCCTTGGAACCCTAAACCCTAAACTATAAACCCTAAACCCTGAACCCTAAACCCTAAAAACCCTAAACCCTAAACCCTAACTTCGGGGTACTTAGAAATAATTTTGAATTTTTGGTTACTATAATTTCTAAGAAACAGCTAAAATTATAATTTTTGCTAGGGTTCTAAGTTCAGTATAGCTAAGCCCAGATCCAGGCACCATGATTCTGTGCATGCTGGGCCTGGCCTCCCTTCGCACGTGCGAGCCTCGTCATAGGAGTCTCAGGCGACCGGGGGACTTTAATCCAGAAGTGGAGCGGAGGGTTTAGGGTTTAGGGGTTTAGGGGTTTAGGGGTTTTAGGGGTTTTAGGGGTTTTAGGGGTTTTTAGGGGTTTAGGGTTTAGGGTTTTGGGGTTATCGGGTGTAGCGCTTAAGCCTTAGGGCTTATAGGCTTTAGGGCATTAGGGTTTAGGGTTTGGGGGTTTTGAGGATTTGGGGAATCGGGGTTTAGGGTTTTGGGCTTATTATAGGGTTTAGGATTTAGGATTTAGAGGGAAGCTATGTTTCCTAATTGAGTTTTGGGGTGATTATAGGGTTTAGGATTTAGGGGGACGAATTATGTTTCCTAAAGCCTGAATCTTTATTAAGTTGTATATGAAAAGGCTGTGGGGGGGGGGAGACACCTACGTTCGTCGCTTGCGATGGTTCTTACAGGAAGGTGGCGTTTCTTATGGCATCCTGTCGGGAGGCCCCGTATGGCCTGGGAGTCACTAAACCCTACACTGGCAAACTGTGAGCCCGATTCCCCGCTTTGAATCGTTATCTGGCTGTGGGCTGGTTTTGCCAACTTGGGGCTTTCTAAATTCTGAATCCCAAACCGTACAACAGGTTGCCAGGTTGGACTCATAGTTCGTGAGTAAGGATATTCCCGTAGTTTCAGTCCCGAAAGAGAAAAAATGCACTTGCAGCACAATATGTCCCAAAACCCCCTCAGCCCTAAACTCTCAAACCCTAAACCCTATCCCTCCAAGGACCTCATAGCTAGGGCCCTAGACCCCTTAAGGACCCCATAATAAGGTCCCTGGAGGCATAGGGTAAAGTACAGCATTACTGCTTTATTCTTTGCGAGACTAGGCCATCCTCCGGCTCCCATGCGCAGCGCTGCACATCAACTTCGCCAGCCCGGTGAAATGCCCAAAGATCCCAAGCGAAAGCCAGGGTTTACCCTAAACCCCAAACTCGCTGAACCCTAAACTCCCTAAATCCCTAAACCCTAAGCCCCTAAACCCTAAACTCCCTAAACCCCTATACTCCCTAAATCCCGAAACCCTTATCAGCCCCTAAACCCTAAGCACCTAAACGCCAAAGCCAGGGTTTAGGAGTTAGGGTTGAGACGGGTTCAGGCACCGCTCTAAGACCATATCAGCCCCAGAATTCCATTCAAAAAGACATGTGCTAGGGCCCCGATCATGACAGTTTATACCCTAGAAGCCCTATGATATGTTCTGGAGAAAGACAACCCATGTCTGTGGGCACTTAAGTCATCATGAGACAGTAGTAGCCGTTACTAGCCAAAGAAGCCTTATTAAAGCACACAGCTGAAAACCATGTGCTAGTTCCCGTGAATTGCCGTGAGTATCGTACACCCTACACCCTAATCCCTCAACCCTAAGCCTAACCCCTAAACCCTAATCCTAAACCCTCATCCCTAACTAAGCCCTAATCATAATCCGTATAAGGCCTAAGCGCGCTCAACCCCTAAATCCTAAGCCCCAAACCCTAAACCTTAATCCCTTGACCTTAGCCCTAGGATGCCGCGGTGAGCTGCCCCCTGGAAAAAGGAACTTAAAAGAACAACAACCTGAGCCCTAAACCCTAAGCTGCCATGAGCATCGTGCTCCATGTATCGATCCTCAGCGGGCAGACTGCGGCGATTGCCGTAGATCCCGATTGCGACATTGAGGAGCCTTGGGGGGACTTAAGGGGCTCAGGGTTTAGGGATTTAAGGTTTGGGGGTTTTAGGGACTGTAGGGCTTGGGGTTTAGGGACCTAGGGGTTTTTGGGTTTTTGGGGCTTTAGAGTTGAGGGTTCAGGGACAAGTGTTCTGGGGGTTACGGGTTTTAGGGTTTAAAGTTTAGGGTTTTTGAAGGTTTGAGATTCAATTAGGGGTTCAGGGCTTAGGGTTTCGGGCTGAGGGCTTATAGGGCTTAGGGCTTTGGGGTGTATATAGGGTTTAGGGGAGGATCTGCAGCTGTTTTGTCGGCATCCTTTTTATGACTTCCCTATATCAAAGTCTTCAAAGAAGGCAGGATGTTTATGGTCCAGCATTCCGCCCCGCTTCGCAGCTTTCCTTCCCGACTTGGCACCTTCACGAGACCGTCTTAGAGGAAACGAAGACCCTCTCAATAAACGACAACTCTCAGCCCAAAGCCCCTAAGCCCTAAAGCGCAAAGCCCCTAAACCTCAAACCCCCGAACAACCTAAAGCTCAAAGCCCCTACACCCTAAAACCCCATAAAACCTCATAGAACCCTATCAAAACCAAACAAAACCCTATATAACCCAAGGTGAGCGGCGCGCGTACAGGGATGTGTGCCTGGTGGACGCTTTGCGTGGGCACGGGCACAAATGCCCCTACACTTCGGATGGACCCTTCTGGGCGATCCAAGATGGCAATGTCTTCTTGAAGCCTTTCCAGCGTCACGTTTGCAGATCTTATAGATTGTATCACGATGAATATGCAGTGTACTACAGTCTCGGGCATCACGTTGACTTAAGGAAATGCGTTCATCGCACCAACTGGCAGCATATTGTCAAGTCGGACAATGCGGAGTTCCTGGTAGCGGCGAACAACCACTTCACGGGTATCCGCAAATAGGATGGCTGCCTGGAGGTAAACACGTCCAACCGGACCCACACATGGCATAAAATCTTGGTGGACGACCTCCCATCCCCGCTGACGTACTCAGTGGACCTGGGCTGCTGGCGGATGAACCCTAGCGCGTGCACCGGCTTCTTTGTGATTCAGGACTTCTGGATGGGGGTGCAGCAGAGATGTGCGAAGCTTCGTCTTCGTCGTCAGTGTCGTATCTTCATCAAAGGGTGGATCGCATGAAGTCAACTTACTGGATCCACACATCATACTTTCTGAACATACGGGGGTAGGAATACTTGTAAGAAAGAATTGTCCTTGTGGCAGGACGCAGACGACGGGCGCATCTGCGATGTTGATTTGATGGGAGGCGCCCTCCAGGAGTTGCCTATTCACCTTGCCACGGAGATTGCCACTTCTGTCGGTGACCTATCCAGGACGTCCTCGACACTCATGTCAAAATAGATAGGTGCCAGCACATTCCCGGTGCTTCGCCAGAGGGTCAGGACCGTTTCGGCTGCCACTCGAGCGCCGCGATGCGAGACGCACTCATTGCCTGCGCTAGCCGAGAGCTTCTTTGCAGCCAACCTTTGCAAATGGCAGAACTGACGATGACTCCTGCATGTTCGTCGCTCACAAGTCACTGGCTGCAACAACAAGTAGGAACATGTATGTTGCAGTTGCACGAGGCTTCTAACCACGATGAGCCACAGCCGCAGGCACAAGGCAGCCGTTGTCCAATGGTGCCACGTGCCCTGGAATCCCATGGATAGCGCTCGGCTCTTGCAAGTTTAATGGTACCAAGATTCGTTGCAAGTTTTCATGAGTGGACACAAAGTGGGGTCCCTGGAGTTACAACCCAATAAAATTCCAGACGCGGCCCAGGTGACCATTTATGCTTTCCATGCGCGCGACTCTATGCTGCCGAGGAATTCGGTTCGCAGCCGGTTACTGCCTACAGAAACGGGCACAGCGTATGCATTCGCCCATGGCGATCTGCAAGGGGGGGGCCGCGGCCGCAGCATCTTCCTCTCTGGATCATATTGCCCTAAGACCCACTTAGGAGTTTCCGAAAATTAGAAGTACCTGATTTGGGGTCCTCATAATAAGGATCCTACTATTTCGGGTGCCATATTAGGGTCCCCTATTTTCAGAACGACCCACTTGCCCAGAGGAGCTTCGCCAGAAAGCCCAGGAGGTTTTGAGGATCGGCCTCTGCAAGCTGCTTGGACTTTGTAATCGAGTTTGGGGGAGATGTTACAGTTAGTTAATGTATGTATGCATGTGTATGCATGTGGGTAGGTATGTTTGTATGTATGTATGTATGTACATATTCATATGTATATATATATACATGTGTAAGCAGAGTATTTGGGGTCTTAAAGTTTAATTGATGCATAGTATGTGGTGAGTAGAAGGGAAGTTGTCTGAGTATTCATCTTGGGCTGCTATGTTGGTGGTGCTCGGGTTTCAGTAAGGCTTGCGGAGGGTGTCGGCCATGGGTCCTTTAACTTTCACTGCTACTGGTGTGGAGCAAATTTCGGGTTGAAGAGCCTGAGCGCCGGAGTGGGGCGCAATCTTTCCTGGTCATTTCCGCGTTGTACGATGACGAGCCGTGTATTTGAGGGTTCAGACGGGAGGGTCTCATGCTGTGAATGTGAGGATGTTCCTGTTGATAATGTTGACCAGGATGATGCCGGTGATGATGATGTTGATGATGATGATGATGATGATGAGGTTGTGAGTTGTTGTTGCCGATGACATTATGCCTCCTAGAAGCACAGAAGCAAAAAGCTTTTCATCACCACACGTCACCGACGATGCCACAGCAATTCACAGGTCCACCTAAACCAACATCTCTACGGCCCTTGTTATTCGCGACCCCTACATCTTGCGCTCAGGATCATCCACAGCAGCGGGGCCGTGCTGCAAGGCACTGTTCGCACTGCAGGCCTTTGCGATGGCGAGGCCCCATCTGAGGTGTCAAACCAGCGATGTGACAAAATTTGTAAGCAAGTTTGTGTATGGGTTGTTTCTTCAGATTCGCGGTGTCTTTCTGGTGTTCTTTTCAGCATCATACTATGCAGGGTTTGTCACACGGCTTTCCAGCAGGTTCGCGCCTATCGTGCGATGTGCACGGTGATCTACAAGCCCAGTGTCCTCTGCAATAGAAATAGTTCGGACGATACTGATGCTAACCACGACACGATTCAGAATGCGCATTCAGGGACAGTACGTTCTAAATTGCATACAACTGGAAAAGCTTTCTGGGTAGAGGGCAGTTTCGCACAAGGTCTTGCAAAGAAACTAGATATGTTGAAATTATGGGAGACTGTTGCCTGTCGGGTTCTGCTGTTGCATGTTTCATGCTGCACCCTATGTTTCTTCAATCAGCATGTTTTCGTCTTACTTTGCGCATTGCCGCAGGTTCTGTTGCAAGACTCTTTTCGGTGGGATCTTCGGGGCCGTTTGGTCAGGATGCTAAAGGCAGAGTCCAGGGAATTAAGTTGTTTTGTGCGGAAGTGGTTTCTTGTTCATACATGGATCATAATGATGCCTTGCCAGATGTGCACGAACACTGATTGTGCGAACATAGGTCTGTAGGATAACCATTCCCAGCAGTGCAGCAGGGGGCTTGTGCGAGGCTTTGAAAACCTGGAACCGCAACCGCACGAACCTAATCCCTGAAGCCTTAGCAACCATGAATAAACGTCTAGCGTCTGGAGCCATGAACCCCGCTACAGCACTTATTACTTCCAGCTGGGTTTTAACGTATGCCATAGCTGCCATAGACGATGCTTTCCAGCCCTTCAGTGTTATTGTATAGGATAATGAAACAATCCTGATTGACCCGACGGTCAGACCCGACGGTAATTTGTAGTCCGAGTGTTCACTTGGTGCAGTATTTCGGAACATTCTCCCTATCCCTCCAAGGACATCAGTAGTAAGGGCCCTAGACCCCTTAAGGACCCCATAATAAGGTCCGTGGAGGCATAGGGTCTTTTTTGGTAGCCACAGATCCGAAACCCCAGCTAAACCCCAAACGCTACACCCGGCACCGTAACCAGCAGACCAACCCTTTAAGTCATCGTATTCTGCACACCCCAACAGATCCAAAACCCAGCGCATAGATCCTCAGCTCGTATATTCAGACCCTTCATTGAAGAACGCTATGAAACCGTAATTATCAATTATATCTTAGGTCCCATATTCTAAGGCCCCTTATTCAAACCGAACACTTAGGATAAAGGTGCCCTTGTTGTACAGGGGCCACGCAGGAACCTAGTATCAAGCCTTACCCTAATAAACCTTAAACTTAAACCCTAAACCCTAAACCCCAAAGCCAGCCCTAGGGAACCTCGGGCCCTCTGGTCAGGCCATCAGTGCGCTGGCCCGCCCCGCCGAGCTTTTCGCCTCCTGCCGAGCCTTTGCGCTGCTGCAGGCGAACGGTTGAGGGTTTAGTACAGGGACGTTAATAATTACCTATATACTATTTCGGGGGTTCCTTACTATTATAACTATCGTATAATATAATATAACCCCCAAACTCTATTCTAAACAAACGGCCTCTACATTAGGGTTTGCTGAACCCCAAACCCTGGCGCAGGAACTTCCCGACTGCTCTGTGATCCAGTGGTCATAGTGTTAAGTTCCCAAGATTTGAACCCATGCCCTGAAGCTTCAAATTCCTATGCTCTCTCTCTCTCTCTCTCTCGCTCTCTCTCTCTCTCTCGCTCGCTCTCTCTCTCTCTCTCTCTCTCTCTCTCTCTCTCTCTCTCTCTTTCTATATATATATATATACTATACATATATATATATATATATAGAGATATCATTAAACTGGAAGTATCGTGGAACCCTATCATAGCTTAGGCTGTTATTGTTATTGCTCTCGCTGGTATGCTATCAGTATTGGCCTTGGCATTGCATTCATACTATTACCCGACATTTTGAAGGATGCACATGTTTGTTTTGAAGCCACCAAATCCCGAACCCTCAGTCACGGGGTATTGGAGGGTAGCACTTCGCGGCTTGCATTGTTGCAAGAAGGCTTTGCGACGAATGCTACTCAAAGGCTCAGGCGACGTTGTATATCATCATCATTACCCATAGGCCCCATAGTATTCCCTTTTTGGGTGCGTAGGTAGAATCCTATAGGGTAATCCCAAGAAGGAGCTACTATGGGGCCTATGGGTCTAGCTGTAAGACTGTAAGATGTTATCAGTACTGTATGTGGGGTTATGAGTAGGTACAGCGCGGCTCAACGGCTACTTACTTTTCAATAGGTGCCCTGACCTTTGAGTCGAGTGCAAAGGGAGGGTGTGAGGGTGAGGTTTTCGAGAAAGAGTTCGTACGGAATCAAGAGTGATGAGTGTTATTCGTCCGCTGTCCGTCTCCGATGATACATTAATGAACCCCACCCTGTTCTAGTGATTAGGACCCCTATACGAGAGTGGTTTATGGATCATAGATCAAATCATAAAGGTGCAGGATTTCAGGCATTTCATCCGTGTTGAGGGCGCGGAGCAGAGAACCTCCCCGAAGGAAGTGACACGAGCGATCGAATACATGTAACACAGGGGCCTGACTGTTTGGAACACGGCTTTTGTCCGGAGTATAGTATAGCCCAAGTATATGGGGAGTGTGTTTCCACACCCCAACTTCTACAGCAACCAAAATCCGCTTCGGATTCTCGAAAAAAATCGAACCCCCTCCAACATGTCCCAAAACGTTAATGCTTAGCCTTGGACCCTACAATGCTAAATCTGCAACATACCAAGTGCGCCCGATACAGAAAAGCGCAGCGTAGTGATATTTGTTGAACATCAACCGCCACGAAGCTAGGCGCTTCTTACTTACACCCGACCCCAGGACCCTGAGCGTAAAGCCCTCAACCCTAAACCAGATCCGACCCTGAATCCTAGACCCTAAAATTCTGAACCCGGAACCTTCGGAACTCAGCCTTTAGAAATCATAAACCCCAAGGGCTGCAAACCCACTAAACCCAGTCACCCCTAACCGTAAACTGCAAGCCCTATAAATATTATAAACACAAAGTTACCCAAAGCCAACCCGGAACCCTCCCACAGTAAACCCAAAGATACTATAGAAGCCGGAATCCCTGCGCACGCTATTCCTCAGGGCCTGTTAGGGTTCTCCTTTCTAGGTGCACTAGAACTAGGACCTAGAGTAGGCCCTTATTCCCTTTTTTGGGGGTTCCGGTTCCCTTATAAGCCCCTTTAAACCAAAAAGGGCACCCTTTTTATTCCTAGGCTACTCTTGGGTCTAGAGACGAGCCTCTAAGCTCTATTCTGGTTCCGAGGGCCCCTGCAACACCAACCCTAATCCCTGAACTTTAAACCCCGAAACCCTACCTGGACCCTAAGGAACCTACCTTCTTAAGGCCCCCTAATATGATTTCGTGATATACGTCCCTAAAAGGGTTATCTGCGGTTAAGGTAAAGCTTAAAACCTAGGCCTTAAACCCTAAACCATAAACCTCAGGCCCTAAACCGTAAGCCCCCCGCTGTTGCAGCTGACTTTCCGAGGGCGACGGCTCAGTTCTCACTTGGGGTGCCCCTGAGTTCGGCGGCGACAGCAGCGCCGACTCTCGGTAAATTCTTAGATGCCCAGAGGGTCCATATATACTACCATTATGGAAGTAGGGCCGGAAAGACCATGCCTATCATGGTATTGGGGAGCTAACTCTATAATTGCAGTACATATGGATCGGTTTAGGCTGTTTAGGGATATAGGGTTTAGTGGCTCAGGGTGCACGGACATGGGGTTTACGGTTCAGGGAAATAGGGCTTGGGGATGTAGGGTTTAAGGATTCAGGTTGTAGGAGCTTCGGTTTGGGGTGTAGAGTTTATGGACGTAGGGTTTAGGGTTACGCCTTTAGGGCCTCCTTATATAGTATAATATACCACCCAAACCCAATTCAAACGAATGAGGCCCCTAAACTATCGGATTTATTTCTGGGCATTCGAGAAGAAAAATTGCGGGGTGCGATATTTGGGGATCGTTATAAGTAGGGATCCTAGTATTTGAGGTCTCGGTTTGGGTTCCCGTATTGTTGGAAACTTTCATGGTGGATCCTGACGTTTTAGACTTTTTGTTTTGAGTGGGGTTGTACGGGGTAGGATCTAAAGGCCATGACAGTGATAGTGGGAAAGAAGGGTGTATTATGGGTATATAGGGATCCACTACGAGGGGATGTTTTGGCCAGCTATACAGGCTTCTGCGGGCAGCAATAGCAGTAGTAGTAGTAGTAGTAGTAGTAGTAGTAGTAGTAGTAGTAGTAGTAGTAGTAGTAGTAGTAGTAGTAGTAGTAGTAGGAGTAGGAGTAGGAGGAGTAGGAGGAGTAGGAGCAGTAGGAGGAGTAGGAGGAGTAAGAGGAGTAGGAGGAGTAGGAGTAGGAGGAGTAGGAGTAGGAGTAGGAGTAGGAGTAGGAGTAGGAGTAGGAGTAGGAGTAGGAGTAGGAGTAGGAGTCGGAGTCGGAGTCGGAGTCGGAGTCGGAGTCGGAGTCGGAGTCGGAGTCGGAGTAGCAGTAGCAGTAGCAGTAGCAGTAGCAGTAGCAGTAGCAGTAGCAGTAGCAGTCGGAGTCGCAGTCGCAGTCGCAGTCGCAGTAGCAGTCGGAGTCGGAGTCGCAGTCGGAGTCGGAGTCGGAGTCGGAGTCGCAGTAGCAGCTCAGTAGCAGTAGCAGTAGCAGTAGCAGTAGCAGTAGCAGTAGCAGTAGCAGTCGGAGTCGGAGTCGGAGTCGGAGTCGGAGTCGGAGTCGGAGTCGGAGTCGGAGTCGGAGTAGGAGTAGGAGTAGGAGTAGGAGTAGTAGTAGTCGAAGGTAGAGTGGGGTTAGAGTTGCTTTGAGAGCTTCGCAGCTTCGGTGTGAGGGGATGTGTGGACGGTGTGTGGCTTTAGGATCAGGGCTCAGAGCAGCTTACCTAGAGGCTCTATAGTAGTTCCTTTTGGCGGTTCATATTTAGAATCCTATAAGGTAATCCCCAAAAGGAACTACTATGGAGCCTATGGGTAGACATATGAGCAACCCACCTTTGTAACAAGGCTGTTACAAGTGAAGTAGCCTTTGAACTCTAAAACTGCGTAGGGTTTGCAAATGTTTGCAATTTGTTTGGCTCCTTTCAGTTTGCGGCCAAAGCCTTAGACATACCCATGTAAGCTAACCATGTGAGGATACGCCCCGGCAGCAGTGCAAAGGATAACTTGACACAGCCCCACACGGCCTGAACTCTGAACTCTTACCCCTAACTTTGTCACATATAGTTGGGTAACATTTTACATGTTTAAGGGTTCTTAAACCCAATAAGGAATAAAAATGTACACTTTTCATCCTATCCCAATCGTGAACTAGCTAAGCCCCAAGCAAGGCCCAACCCCAAACCCTGAACCCGCCAACCCAAATCCGAGATCCCAAAACTGAGAACCCGAAACCCCCAATCCCCAAGCCCAACCCTCTTTACAGCTTGAGCCCTAACCCTGAGGCTCAAAACTGCACAAAAGGCATTGTGTTTGAGCCGACTAGCATAGCAGTAAAACGTGCTTGCTTAGGGACCCTTAACCCAAAACCCTAAGCTAAACCTTAAACTTTAACCACAAGGTTCGGTCCCAGCTGATGACTGTGGAGCAAATCGCCTCCTCCTTGGGCGCCTTTGCCGCTATTCGTGGCGACGGCTCCGTGGCGCGCGGGGAGGGAAGTCAGAGAGTAGGGTAAAGAGGGGTTGTAGGGTTTTCGGGTTTTAGGGCTATTTCGGGATTCAGGACATTTTGGGGTTTAATTAGGGTTTGGGTCTTGGGTTTCCGGTTTAGAGCTTTAGGCTTTCAGGGTTTCGGGTATGCGGCTTATAGGGTTTAGGGTTGTAAGCTTCAGGGTTTAGCTTTCGGGTCCAGGTTTAGGGGTTCGGGGGAGGCTGCAGGCAATATCATCGCTGATGCTTCTGGCTAAGATCAGTGTAAACTAATGTTGACGCCAGGAGGCACACAAAGCCACTAAGTGTGTCTACGACGACAACGACGATTACTACCATGGTGCGGCTGCTGCTGCCGGTGTGAGTACCTGTTTTGTGCAGACTGCGACGGCTAGTTTCTGCTGCAAAACGTTGAACCTAAAATCCACTATCGGGTACAAGTACAGCTATAATTAATATAGCCAATAGGGTCTTTTATTGCTCTACTGAAGTTAACTATGTATTTATGCAGGTCACGTGGGGCCACACTGCTTGCGGTGGTGATAGCAGCGCTGTTGCAGCATCACTGTGACCTAGCTGCACGGACCCGGATTTTCATTTTTGAGGCGGTACACCTTAATCCCCTTCACTCGCACTCCAATCGTGACCTAAACCCAGCCTGCGGCATAAACTCTATATATGGCTTTGTTGTTTCAGATTCAGAAGTCAGTTCCTGGAGACCTTTTTGCGGACTCTGCGGTGAAGGATGTCGTTGATATTGCAGCTGATATCCTACTGGGAGTGGCTGACGATACAGTGACTTCACAGCAGGATCCACATCTGTAATCCTCGTTCCGCATGTGTAGACATTATTGACGACATTTATAGGGTGTCGTCCTTTTCTTTGAGGGTTGAGGCTCGTGTGTTCAGTTCAGATGAACGAGGAGCCCGTTAGCCCTAAACCCTAAACCCTAAACCCTAAACCCTAAACCCTAAACCCTAAACCCTAAACCCCCAGACGAGCTGTATGAGAGTCTCAAAGGAAACCTGCAAGGCGCCCTCCTCTTAGGGGTACTTAGAAATGATTTTTAATTTTTTGGTTATTATAATCCCTAAGAAACAGCTAAAATTATAATTTTTGCTTGGGTTCTAAGTTCAGAATGTACTGTTGCGGTTTAGGGTTTAGGGTTTGCAACCTTACTGTGTCTATTCGGAATTTTTAATGCGGTTTGTTGAGGCCCCGAGTACCTTGATCACCATGGCAGTTATGCGCGCTCCTGTTGTTTGTTGCTTTACTCATGGGTAGCCTTGGGGGTGGTAATGGTAATAGTAATACAGGGGCCTGCAATACTAAGGGTTGCCTATGATTATAGTATAGTGGGCCCCAAAACCCTATTCTAATTATCAAGGCCCCTACATTATACTCCCAAAGCTGTTCAGGCCCCTGCGTGGGTTTCAAAAGCTTGAAATTTCCATGACCATGAGGCGCGATGTACGACAGGCGGGCCGATGCCAGGGTTTCGTGCTTTCGGGGATTCAAGACTGAGGGCTTTTGGGTTTTTGTGCTTGCGGTTTTAGTGCCGAGGAGTCGGCTGAGGAGTTTTGAGGTGCTCGTGCTTAGTTTCAGAGACGCGTGGGATCTTATCTTAGATGTTTGAGATGTCCGGGGGTCAGCACAAGCTACCTCTTCCACCCTCCCGAGACATGCGGTTAAGGGCAGAGAGCTCAAAATATCGAGGTCGAAAGAACAAGGGGTAAAACTGCTGTACAGCTCTTACATTTCTGTACACGTTCCTGCTTGCTGCAGCTTTCAAGCAGCAGAAGTAGCAACGGGCGAACCACGGAGTCCAAGAGATGAAGGCATGTCGAGACTAATCAGCGGAACACCTGCGCTTGGCATACGCAACAAACAGATAGTTCGATGAAATTTACTCGTACATAAACCGACAAACAGCTCAATCAATTCATTACATGCGTACCACTGTGTCAAAGCGGACACATGCATGTCACTCGGATGGACAAACCAACGGCTATCATGGCAACACGCAGACATCCATCCATCCACCCATCCATCCATCCATCCATCCATCCATCCATGCATGCATGCATCCATCCATCCATCCATCCATCCATCCATCCATGCATCCATGCATCCATGCATCCATGCATCCAGTTCTAGATGTTGTAGACTGGGTGCTGTAGATTATACTATGACCTTTGAAGGGATCGCTTGCGGTCAGATTTGCTGCAAGTTTTTTGGGTCCTTCTACATGCCAGAACGGTGTTCCAAACCGCCGGTAGTGGTTGTAATGTTCGGTTCGACGATGGGCAGCCACGCCAGAATCCGGAACCCAAAGCCCTGGACCCAAAACAGGGAAGTGGAATGTGGAATCCCAAAAGTTAGCTGCGCAGGTCAAAGGTTCACTGGGTGCCCTGGCAGCGCTGCGCACTGATGGGTCCGTGGTAAGCTGGGGCAACAAGGACTGAGGGGCTTCGGGTTTGAAGTTTGGGCTAGTAACCTAAGAAAAAAAGGGCCTCTCTTTTTGGTATTGGGTAACTTTATAAGGAACCTAGGACTACAAAAAGGGAATAAGGGTACTACTGGGCATCCTAGATAAGGTCTTTGTGGACCCAGAGTAAGCCCTAGGTTCCCTTTTTAAGGGTTCTGGTTCCCTTATTAAGCCCCTTTAAACCAAAAAGGGCACCCTTTTTATTCCTAGGTTACTCTTGGGTCTAGTGGGAGTTTAGGATGTGCCTGGCTTGGGTTTAACACTTCAGGGTTCAGGGCTTCGGGCTTGCATAGAGGCATTGGTTGAGCTGGAGCCGTGAGGTGGCGTAGCCTTTGGGGCTTGAGGGCTTGGTGGAGCCCTCCACCCCAAAACTCGAAACCCTACCCCTTAAACTTTTGGGGCCAAAAACCTTCTACACCCCAAAACTCGAAACCCAGACCCCTTAAACTTTTAGGGGCCTTAATAGCCTTAAGTTGCATAGCCCAAGGCCAGCAGTTCTGGCGTTTTCAAGTCCCAACCTCCGACCCCAATCTGAAAATCCGAAGTCCAGCATCTTCGATCCATATGGTGTAATGGGAGCTTCCGAAAATTGGGGGTACCTTATTTAGGGGTCCTTTAGGGGTTCCTTAAAGGGTACTATAAGGGTTCCTTTAAAGGGCTTAAGCAGGGTTTAAGGTTTCCGAAAATTAGGGGGTACCTGATTTTGGGGTTCTTATACGAAGGGTCCCACTATTCAGGGTACTCTATTAGGGTCCCCAATTTTTCGAAACTCCCATGTAGGGGCTTAAGGTTCAAGGTTTGGGGTCAAGGATGGTGCCGGCTGGGGCTTGAAATCTGAGGGTTTTGGGGGCTTCTTGTTCTTGTTTTCAGTTTGGGGGTTTAGGGTTTAGGGTTTTGGGGTTTAAGGTTTAGGGTTTAGGGGTTTAGGGTTTTGGGGTTTAAGGTTTAGGGTTTAGGGGTTTAGGGTTTTGGGGTTTAAGGTTTAGGGTTTAGGGGTTTAGGGTTTTGGGGTTTTGGGGTTTAGGGCCTATTAGGGGTTTAAGGCTTATGGCTCTGGCGTAGGGGCTGATTTACGGTTTGGGGACCCCCACTTCCTCACCTGTTCCACAAGCCCTGTGAGTTTCAGAACCTGTCGTAGTACCCAGAGGGTCCATGTAAACTACCGTACTGGGGATGGTCTTTCGGGCTGTACTCGTTTGGGTATTTAACAAATATGTGACTTTGTGGAAAATATCTAACTTAACAATAATGGATATGGTTTTGGGGACCTTCTTCCATAATGATAGTATATCTCTCTTTCCAAACCCTATTAGAGTCTTTGCCTAGAGCTTCTGGGCATACAACACTGAACTTCTTTACTTGGAGGGTAGTAACTGGTTATTTTAGGGACTTATAAGTACCATAACCCCAATTAGGGTCCCTTTCAGGGTACTTATAAGTCTACTTACTACCTACTTACTAAGTCCCTGAACCCTAAACCCTATAGTACCCCTATAGAGCCCTTTGAAGGAACCCTTAGAATCCCCTTTTAAAGGAGCCCTTACTAAGTCCCCTAAGAGGACTGCGGTGGCGACTCTTCCCTGGTGCAGGAGAAGCTGACGTCCATAAAGGACAGCCGGATAGGGGCCTTAATACTTAGAATAGGGTTCCCTTTTAAAGGGGTCTATATAAGGGCTTCTATAAGGGATCTATAAGGGTACTATATAACATAGGGGCCTTAAAAATTAGAATAGGGTTTTGGGGCCCATTATACTATATTTATAATAAGGAACCCCAGAAATCGTATAGGCAATTATGTAGGCCCCTGTATTGGGATCTGTTTCGGATTTGGGTGTAGGGGTGAGGGATTTCGTGCAATATTCGGCCATCAGTCTCAATGTCTGGATTGAAAAACACTGCTTGTTCCCTATACTTGGGGCTTGGGTCCGCTGGGTTGAATTGAAAGCTTCGAGATTTGAGGTTTTCGGCGTAGGATGCAGATCAAGGACGTCAGGTTCGTGTGGTTCAAGGGTTTAGGCTCCAGGGTTCAGGGTGTGGAAGCTAAGAACAGTTCGGACTCTCGAGAACTCCAGCCTCGCGGACTCATGAAGCCATGACCCTGTCAAGAGGTGTTGTCAAGCATTACCCTGGGGGCTCCCAATAGCCCAGAGTGGGTACTACTTTAAGCCCTAAACCCTAAATCCTAAACCCTAAACCCTAAACCCTAAACCCTGAACCCTAAATCCTAAACCCTAAACCCTAAACCCTAAACCCTAAACCCTAAATCCTAAACCCTAAACCCTAAATCCTAAATCCTAAACCCTAAATCCTAAACCCCGGGGCTCCCAATAGCCCAAATTGGGTACTACTTACAGTAGAAGCCCAAAAGTTGGAAACCCCATAGCCTCAATCCTTAAGAGTAAGGTATATGGAATCCCAGCAGCACTATTTAGCCTTATCCGGTTTCCAACTTTAAGGGATTTGCTGTAGAGGCGTTGGAGTTTTGCAATTGGGGTTTAGGCCTCTGAGGGTCTTGGGATTCGAATTTAGGGCGGTGAGGGTTATGGGATCCGGGTTTAGGGCCCCAAAGTGGGTACTACTTATCGACTTCAGACCCCAGAGTCGGCACTGTTTGTAAACTCGGAGCTCTAGGGAGAGGGGTTGGTGATTCAATATGTGGGCCTGGATCCTGAATTGCAATGATGCTATTCTTGAGGATGCCTCGTAGCCATCTCTCTCTCTCTCTCTCTCTCTCTCTCTCTCTCTCTCTCTCTCTCTCTTTCTCTTTCTGTATTGTTATTATTATTTTTGTTATTAGTATTAGTATTAGTATTAGTATTAGTATTAGTATTAGTATTAGTATTAGTATTAGTATTAGTATTATTAGTATTATTATTATTATTATTATTATTAGTAGTATTATTATTATAAATATGTACGAATATTTTTGCTGTTGTGTTTTGCGTTGAGTGTGTGCATGAGCCTTGCACTTTGATCGAAGCTTGGGATTCAGGGCCCCTGGGCTCAGCTTAGAACTTAGGGTTTAGGGTTTAAGGTTTGGGGTTTAGGGCTTAGGGTTTAGGGTTTGGGGGGTTCGGCGTGTGCGTTGAGCTTTGCAGATGTAGCTTGGCCAGAATCCCGCTTTTCTTTGCAGTGCAGCTCGCGAAATATCCTTGGTAGCCTGACTTCCTAAATTCCATAATTCCGCAAAGCTCAAAGTGCTGAATACAGTAAACCCTGAACCTGGACCCTAAACCTCTCTATCATATGGTAATTTGAACCTGAACGAAATTCGTGGGCAAGGCCCAAAATTTCGTGCGCAATGCCCCTAAACCCTAAACCCCTACAACCCCTAAAACCCCTAAAACCCCTAAACCCCTAAACCCTAAACCCTAAACCCTAAACCCTACCTAAACCCTAAACCCCTAAACCCTAAACCCTAAACCCTAAACCCTAAACCCCTAAACCCTAAACCCTCCGCTCCACTTCTGGATTCGGCGGCCTTCGGGTTTTGGCCTTCAGGTTTCGCTTTTGGGGTTTCGGCCTGGGCTTCGTTCTTAGGGTTTGTGGGGTTTTGGGTATAGGGTTTAGGGTTTAGGGTTTAGGGTTTAGGGTTTAGGGTTTAGGGTTTAGGGTTTAGGGTTTAGGGTTTAGGGTTTAGGGTTTCGGGTTTGGGGTTTCGGGTTTGGGGTTTAGGGTTTTGGGGCTTAAAGGGTTCTGGAGTTAGGGCTTCACGCCTGTGAGCTTAAGGAAAATGATGTGTATTGTCTTAATCTTTTGAGATTCTTTGGGCAGGTGGTTTTCTTCTAAATCGACAGCCGCTAGCTTGACTAGAGACTGCTCGACCTGGAGCTGCTGAACCCTAAACCCTGAACCGCAGTAGGGGCCGTAGATGAATGTAGAAGGAGATCGCATCTTCGGGTGGTGCCTTCGCCGCCATCCGCTCGGATGGTTCGGTGGTGACTTGGGGCAAGGCCCCCTAGGGCCCGGGTTCAGGGTTTAGGGTATAGGGGGCTTTAAGATGTAAGGTTTCAGTGCCTAGGGTCGAAGCTGCTAAAGGTTTCGAGCGTAACAGGCGCAAGCCTGACGACCTAAGAATAACCTTCTCCCCCCAATACCAAGTACCCTACACGTACTTTTTTGAGGAGGTTTGTGCGGATACGTAATAATCTGACAAGGTTAGTTCTTTGGGTTTGGGCAGGGGTTTCCGTTTCACGGTCTATTTCAAGAGTTGATCAGCGCCTGAAGGACCAAATGAGCCCTAAAAGTGGGGGGCCTATACCCATAAACTATGAATCCCTGTATGGTATATGAACCTTAAACCCTTTTAGGGTTCATTTCGTCCTTAAGGCAGGTCTCGGATTTCAGGCGCGAGCTTCGGATGGAAGTTTCACCCTAAACTTTAAACCCCACCTTAGCCAACCCACCCCTTCCTTTTTTTTGTGGGTTCTCACTATCAACTCTGATATGGAATCTCTCTGGGGGCCCCAGTAAAACGCACATTTCGGTGGGTTTAGGTGAAGCCTTAGAAGGGGCCCCCACCCTGTAATAGTGGTATAGCAGGAAAACAACATAGGGCCCTGATAGAATCCTTATGGTCACTATTACAGGCTGGGGGGCCCCTTCTAAGTGTGGTTTGAAAGTCTGGGGCTCTGCACTGGAGCTCTCCCGGTCTCTTGTTTTGCGGATGCAAGTTCTCGATATAATAAGGGTACTCTTCTAAGGTTGCTATAAGGGATCTTTCAGGGTCCGTCAGGGTACTCAGAGGGATCTTTCAGGGTACTATGAAGAATGTCAGATTTTAGATTGGGTAGTAGGGGCGTCATTTTTTCGAGAGTCAAGAGATCCTCCATTTAATTAGTTGTCTTCCTCGGCTGGTGTCTGTTCATCTGGTTTGGGGTTTACGCCAGGTTTTGGGGTTTTGCTGGTGGCTTAGGGTTTATATGGGTTTAGTGAACCCTTAAACCCTCAATAGAAGGGTTTAGGTACAAAGTGGCTCCGGTGTTCGCTTCAGCTTATTTTTGCAAACGGCACTACCCGAAAGCCCTCGAAACCCCAGACAGAAGCGCTGCAAGCCCTCGAACCGTCAGGATCCGGGTGGTTGTCAAACCTATGGCCCCTTTTTAGGTACCTTAAATATTTGGTGCCGTATAATAATAAGGACCCAAAAGGGAGCCTAATTTTGATAACCACCCACATGGCCAGCGGCTCGGAGGCGCAGAGGACTTATGAACACTTACAGTCACCTGACTTATGACACGACTCACTAACCCCCTGAATGCTAAGGGTTGAGAAACCCTAAACCCTGAACCCTAAAACATAAACCCCTACGACCCTAAACCCTAAACCCTAAACCCTAAACCCTAAACCCTGAACCCTAAAGCATAAACCCCTACGACCCTAAACCCTAAGCCCCCAAGACCCCAAGCTCCCAAGCTCCTCTCGCAGGCGGAGTCTGGGGGTGACAGCAGCGCTGTGACGGGGATGCTCACGCAGGTCCGATTGCATGGCAACTACACACTTAGACCCTAAACCCTAAACCCTACATCCTGAACCCTAAAGCCTGAATTACACAGTTCTTCCGTACTTCGAGGGGGCTTAGTGGAAGGAGCATCAAGTATCTTACTGAGGCTATAAGTCGAGATTAGAGATAGCTGTAGTTGCCTTACTTTGTAACCAGAATGACGACGACCACTGATCCTTCGAGTGGGGTCTCTTGTTGAGAGGACACTACTCCAAACTCTATCAAAACCCATAAGCCCTATAACCCCGAAACCTTCAACTCTACCGTACTTTCAGGACTTAAACTTTATCGTTGCCGGTCTTCTCGGTTCAGGCGTAAGGGCTTGCTTTGAGCTTAAAGCCTCAGCCTAAAGTTTTTAGCCGTGCACCGAGGGTTTAGGTCTCCATTGTAGTTCCTTTTTGAGGTTACCTTTTAGGATCCTAATATATATTTGGTTAAACCCCAAAAAGGAACTACAGTGAAGACTATAGGTAGGGCTTAGAGTGTAGGCCCGGGCTTGCGAATCCGACCAACACGAACATAATCACTAGTTCATACTTACTATTGTTGATATGTATACTTTGATTCAGTACTCACACTAATACTAAGACCAATGCTAATACTGGGCAGAAACATTGGCTGCAAAGCTGAAGACGGGAACCCTGGCAAGCTTGGATGACGTCAGCTTGAAACTGGCCTCTCACGTGGCCTGCGGTGCCCTCAACGAGCATCCTATCGCGCAAGGCTGTCTAGTGGCAGCCGTGGAACAATCCCTGCGCAGAGACCTAGGCGGAAATCAACAAGAAAGACTTCGACAAGTCGATGGCATAGATGCTTGGCTTTTGCGAAGTTGTGCCACCAAGTTGCTTCCAGCAACAGTCGTGCATGGAATCGATCGATCCGACGATCCTCGCCTTGGCTGGAAAGGCCCGACAGGCGGCACAGAACTTGACCCGATCGGGTATGGAACCTCTAACACCCTAAAGGAAGCACTGAACCTTAAACCATGTAGGAGTTTCCGAAATAGGGGACTGATACAGTACCCTACATAATAGTAGGACCCTTACTATAAGGACCCCTGGAAAATTAAGGATAAATTCAGGTACCCCTAATTTTCGGCAACCCCCATAGGGTGGTTGTCAAAGTTATGGTTCCTTTTTGGGTCCCCATTATAATACGGCACCTATTATTTAGGGTACCTAAAAAGGGACCTTAAATTTGACAACCACATATAGATCCTAATTCTGAAGAGAAGGACCCCTAAAAATGAAGTACCCCTAATTTTCGGCAACTCCCATTCCTTTAAGGGATCTTTAAGGGTTCCTTTAAGGGTTCTATAAGGGATCCTTTAAGGTTCCATAAGTTAGGGATCCTTTAAGGGTTATATAAGGGATCCTTTAAGGGTTCTATATCGATCCTAATTCTGAAGGAAGTAAACGCCTAAACCCTAAACCCTAGCAACTCCCATATCAATCCTAATTCTGAAGGTCCAGCAAGTTTGCGGCTCCGGCGGTGCCTTCGCAGCGCTGCGATCCGACGGCATCGCGGTGAGCAAAGGGAGCCGAGGACGGGTTGAAGTCTAGGATGTTAGGGTTTAGGGTTTATAGGGTTTAGGGTTTATAGGGTTTGGGGTTTATAGGATAGGGTTTTAGGTTTATAGGGTTTTGGGTTGATAGGGTTTTGGGTTTATAGGGTTTTGGGTTTATCGGGTTTGGGGTTTATAGGGTTTTAGGTTTATAGGGTTTTGGGTTGATAGGGTTTAGGGTTTATAGGGTTTAGAGTTTATAGGGTTTTGGGTTTACAGGGTTTAGAGTTTATAGGGTTTAGGGCTTTAAGGTTAGGGTTTATAGGGTTTAGAGTTTATAGGGTTTAGGGCTTTAAGGTTAGGGTTCAGGGTTTATAGGGTTTAGAGTTTATAGGGTTTGGGGCTTTAGGGTTAGGGTTTAGGGAGTTTAGGGCTTAAGGCCTGAAGGTTAGGGTTTTGGGGGTTTGGGGTTTCAGGTCTGAGGGTTCAGCAGTGTCAGGGTTTGGGATGCTTTTTGAAGTTGTTGAAAGTGGGAGAGTCATGATCAGGAGGGGCTTCGCGTAGTTAGGATACGTATTTGAACGGTCCTTGCTGAGGGTACCAGCAACTGGTAGCTAAATACTATTTCGAGTCTATATTGGGCTCCCCTATTTGCACCCCTTCCAAACTCCTATATGCGAGGGTGCGTTCACATCATGAGCATCGTAAGGAGCTTCGTTTGCATAAGCTTTCAAGCTGTGACTTAGGGTTTAGTGTCTAGGGCTGTTGCTAAACGGTATTGCTAGGAAGTGGCTGACGATTAGAGATACCTTGCAGACCCGAAACCCGAACCCCTAAACGCCTAACACCGAACCCCTCAACGCCTAAGCCCGAAACCCCTAAACCCGAAACCATAAACCTCTAGCCATAAAGCGTAAGCCCCTAGAAACGAAGCACTAGAAGCTTCTCTAAGGCTCCGTAGTGACTTGGGGCGCGGACTACTGCGGTGGAAGCAGCCGTGAGGCCCTGTCAGAGCTCGTGAGGGTTTAGGGGTCGGGTTAAGGGTTTAGGGGGTTTAAGGGTTTAGGTCGTTTAAGGGTTTCGGGGCTCAGGATTTTTGTGGTTGAGGGTTTAGGGGGGTTAAGGGCTCAGGGTTTAGGGGTTTAAGGGTTTCGGGTTCAGGGGTTTAGGGTTTAGGGGTTTAGGCTGGTGTTCAGAGTGCGGCAGTTGAGGGCATGGTTTAGGCTTCAGAGCAAGGCTACTCGCAGGATTCGAGTGGTCTACAGCACACGTGTGATTCAGAGTCGTCGCAGTCTCTTGTGAAATCCAGGTGCAAAAAGATCTGCGAGACGTTTCCTGTCTCTACTCATCCACCTACGCCTTTGCGGCCGTCTTGGCCGACACTTGGCTGTAGGGCTCGGGGTTTAAAACTTCAGAGACTATCGTCATTAGGGTTAAGTGCACAGGGTTTTCTGTAGTCTTGAGGCTATACTTCTGGACTTTACCTATAGTCTCCATTGTAGTTCCTAAAACCGAACTGCAATGGAGACTATACTAGGACCCAGAGTAAGCCCTTATTCCCGTTTTTAGGGTTCTGGTTCCCTTATTAAGCCCCTTTAAACCAAAAAGGGCACCCGTTTTATTCCTAGGTTACTCTTGGGTCTAGTATAGGTAGAGTTCAGGTTTTTTGGAACCCCGGAGCTCTTTTGGACTGGGTCTTGGAGAGTAGAGGATTCCACAAAAAACCCTCGAGTTAAGGCCACTTGGGTGGTTGTCAATATTAGGGTCCCTTTTGGGTCCTTACTATATAATACGGCACCTAATATTTAGGGTGCCCAAACAGGGAACATGATTTTGACAACTACCCACTTACTTGTACAGGATCTCCTCCTTTGTGCAGCCTAGAGCCGCTCTCCTCGAAGTGGCGCAGCCCTAAGTCCTAAACAACGGAAGTGGTTATTTGCTATTCCTTGAGATCGCTGCTACGATTGTAAATGCTCCTAGAGATAGTCCTATGATAGGCCTCCTAAACCCCCACGCCCTAGTAAACCCTCAAACTCCAAATCCAGAACCCGATACAACCAACCAAAAATACCCTAAACCCTACGCCATGCAACAGCTCCCAACAAGGACGGCTCAGTTGTGACATGGGGCGACCCAGAACGGGGAGCCGACTCAAGCTCAGTGAGAGCAAAACTTCGCGGTGTGCTCCGGCCTTCAATTTTGCTACTAGAGCCGTCACAGGGTTTAGGGAGCCACGGTATAGGGTTTAGGGTTTTACGGTTTAGGGTGTAGGGTTTAGGGATTAGTGTTTAGGGGTTTAGGGGCTTAGGCTTTAGGCTTGAGTCCTCGAATCAGGTCTTGGAGTCTCCTGTTATGGGATGTCGGATACAGAGACGCTGTTGTCCACTTCTACTTCCCAGCTCCTAAATCCCAGCCCTGGAGCTTAAACCCTGTACCCTAGTCCTGAGAGTTCAGGTTTGGGATGGATTGAGATTGTAATAATACGTATGTATATGTGCATGCTTGTATAGCTTAGCTATTGAGACTTTCCAGACTAGACGCTGGTGTTGGGCTAAGCTTATGAATCGCATATGCATGGATGAGGGCTGATGCAAGCTCTTGCAGCGGTCACCATAAGTTTTTGATGCAAGCTGGGCGTAAACACCCAAAGACCCAAAGCCCGGAAGGCCTCAAGCCCTAATATAGGGGCCTAAATATTTACCAATACTACTTTGGGGGGGTTCCTTATTACAAGTATAGTATAACATACCCCAAAACCCTATTCTAATTATTAAGGCCCCTATATTATGGTACCCTGAAAGATCCCTGAGAGTAGCCCTGAGATAGACCCCTTTAAAAGGGAACCCTATTCTAGTTATTAAGGCCCCTATAGTAAATGCTCTGGGGTTTCTTGGGTGCAAGCCTCGGAGGCCTCAAAAGGTGGGATGAAGGTAGGTAGGATGGATCCTTATTTAAGGGTTTAGGGTTTAGGGTTTAGGGTTTAGGTAGGATGGATCCTTATCTAAGGGTTTGGGGTTTAGGGTTTAGGGTTTAGGTAGGATGAAGGATCCCTTATTTAAGGGCTCTTAATTGGGAACATCCCACCTACCTTCATCCCACCTTTGGAGCCCTTTGAAAGCCTAAGGCTCCATGTACCCACATAGTAGATACTTAGGCCATAAAGTACCTATATAGGGACCCCTTTAAGGCCTAAGTAGCTACTATAAGGGTACATGGAGCCTTAGGGGAAAGCCTAAGGTCCAGCAAGTCCGGTCAACTTTGGGCGCTTTCGCAGCGCTCCGTTCCGACGGGCCCGGGTTCAGCAAACGTCTTAGTCGGGCTTACCTATAGTCTCCATTGTAGTTCCTGTTTTAGGTTTAACCAGATGGGAGTTTCCGAAAATAGGGGACCCTAATATAGCACCCAAAATAATAGGATCCTGATTATAAGGACCCCAAATAAAGGTACCCCTAATCTTCGGAAACTCCCGTATATGTATGTGTATGTATATATATATATATAATTAGGATCCTACATGGTAACCCCAAAAAGGAACTACAATGGTGACTATAGGTAGGAATAGGATTGAAGGTATAGGCTGGGCATAACTCAGGGCTTACACTTACAGGGCTTCGGCTTAGAATCTTTGTAACCCTGAGCCCTACACCCGGGCTTGTTGGGGGCAGGGTTCATTTTGATGGGCCTTCCAGTCCAAACCCGAAGAACCCGAAAGTTGAAAGATTGAAATCTGAACCACCGACAGCTACAACGCTCAACAAGCTTACATCCTGCTTGGGCCCCTCAGAGCCCATTTTTTGAGGTGCTTGATAAAAAAGAAACTCACAGACCCCGACAAGGTAGGTGATTTATGGTTCAGAGAATACGTCCTAAACGCACCCTCGGCCCCTGCAAAAGGTCGGTGGTGACATGGGGCCGCGCTGAGAGTGGAGGAGACAGCTCTGCTGTACAAGCCGATCTGTCGGAGGTGCGTCATTTGCAAGGGTGCGGCCTTAACAATCAGAATAGGGTTCCGCTCAAGGGGGGGCTATAAGGACTACTATAAGGGTTATATAACATAGGGGCCTAAGTAGTTACCAATACTATTCTGGTGGGTTTTTATTCCATAATTATAGTATAATGGACACCAAAACTGCCAAAACCCTGTTCTAATTATTAAGGCGGGGGCTGAGGGTTTAGGATTTAGGCTTCCTTACGGCTGCATAGGGGTTCCAGATGGTCTCTGCACAAACCAAGTCCAAAAATAATCTTGAACTTGGTTTTGTTTTGTTAAGGGCGCCATCATCATGAATTTGCCAGGCTCCAAGATTTGTGTGAGTTGTGTTTCACGTGATGGAGCTACGAGCAAGATTTCCGATCTCCAGGAACCGCGAGTCTGCTACAGTAGAAGCCAGAAAGTTGGAATATCATTATCGTAACCCCTTTAAGGTAAAGTATAGGGGATCCTACCATTAATCCATATTCCAACTTTCTGGAGTTCCCTTTAGTCAGGTCTCAGCCCGAGTTTACTATTACGGAAGGTTTTCGGGCAGCTGCTCCTGTGACTGTCAACAGGCAACAAACCTGTCATCTAAGATCCCCAGTACCTAACCTTTCAACTTTTGGGGTTCTTATAGTTTAGTAGGAATCGGAAAGCTCAACCTGATACTTCGGTGGCTTACTGGGGAAGTTAGAAGCCCTAAACACCCACTTCGTAAATCCTACCCAAACCCTAAACCACCCTAAACCCTAAACCTTCAACAGCCATTCACTTGCCTGTGTTGTGCTTGGAAAGGTGGTGCAGCTCCGGGGTTCCAGTGGGGCTTTCGCCGCCTTAAGGTCGGATGGCGTCCTGGCACGGTCTAGGGTTTAGGGTGATTTGGGGTTTAGGGTTTGGGGGGGGGGGGGGGGGGTTTAGGGTCTAGGGTGGTTTAGGGTTTAGAGTGGCAGGGTTTAGGGCCTAAATTGGGGTTTGGGGTTTGGTGGTTTAGAGTTTAGGGTTTAGAGTGATAGGGTTTAGGGCTTTGGGTTTGGGTTTTAGAGTGGTTTAAGGGTGATTTGGGGTTTAGGGTGGTTTAGGGTTTAGGATGGATGAGGGTGTGGGGCTAGTTTAGTGTTTAGGGTGATTTAGGGCGTAGAATCTAGGGATCGTGACGTTTAGGGTTTATAGGGTGTCAGGGTTGAGGGTTTCGGAGTTGCTTATCCTTACAGAGTTGGTGGTGTAGGTTGTATAGAAGCATGAGTAACTCGTGAGATTCGAAAAGGTCTTTCCGCGTTACTTTAAGCGCTACCAGTAAGAATCATAGTCTAGCAGCCGGAGTGTTGAGTAACATGCGATTTTTGCAGGGCTCCATAATGCAACTATCCTAAGGGCTTGGGGAGTGCCGGGTCAAGGGATTGAGGCTTTAATATCGGGTTCTGATTAATGAGCTACCTATAGTCTCCACTGTAGTTCCTTTTTTTGGTTTAACAAATTCTATATTAAGGATCCTTAAAGGTAACTCCAAAAAGGAACTACAATGGAGACTATAGGTATACTTTGCTATACTAATCTGAAAGGTTCTTTGTTACCTTTATGATCGACCAGGCCGCTCAGACAAGCTATTCTGAACTTTTAAGGCTCCGATTTACCCGATGTGTTGTCCAAGGAAGTGCGGCCTTCCCAAACCCTAAACCCGAACCCCTAGCCCTAACCCCTAAAGTAAAAGCCAGAAAGTTGGAATATGATTATCCTAAGCCCTTTATGGTAAATTATAAGGTATCCTACCCTGAAACCATATTCCAACTTTCTGGAGTTCCCTTTAAACCCAATCTTCTCGGGATCTCGGTGACGTTGGGAATTTGGGGCTGTAATCTTTGCCTCGAACCCAGAAGCCCTTGAAGTTAGAGACCCTCGGCGCTATGGTTTGAAGACCTCCTAGCTAGGACTTCTGCAGGCTTAATTACTCAGCTAAATCAAAAAGGACTTTACCCAGCTGATGGAAAACGGGCGCGCAAAAGAAGGACGACCCTCAGCGTAGCCTTCTCGTACCTGGTTGTGAGAAGCTTAGAGCAACCCTTATAGTAGCCTCATCATAGCAACCTGATAGCAATCCTAAACCCTAAACCCCCAAACCCTAAACCCCTAAACCCCTGACCCCTGAATCCTAATCCCCTAAACCCCATAACCCCTAAACCCCCAAACCCCATTGAAAAGAGCTGCAAGGCTCGGTTGTTACCTGGGGACTGGATTTCTTCGGCGGCGACAGCAGCAGCTCTTCGGATGCAGCAGGGGCCGAGATTTCGATGGCAGGGGCTGGAGGCGGAGGGTTTAGAGTTTAGGGGTTTAGGGGTTTTGGGGGTTTAGGGGTTTAGGGGTTAGGGTCTAGGGGGTTTAGGGGTTTAGGGTTTAGGGGTTTAGGGTTTCGGGTTTAGGGGTTTAGGGTTTGGGGTCAAGGCTTCGGACGCAGATGATAAGGGAGGCTTGAACAAGTAACACAGGCGTCGGAACTATCTGTAGTAGCACCCCTATAATTACAGTCCATGTATGGCTTGTGTTCAATATCCCCCCCCCAACCCCCACATCCAATTCTAAATATTCAGGCCCCGATTCATGGGTCCCCAGCCGTTATCATCTTTGTAGCCCTCGTAGAGGATAGCTTTTGGGGTTTTGGGCTTAGGGCTTCTCCCTGTGTTGGTGCTTTGTGGTTCCGGGATTGGTAGGGAACAAGCATCACATACAGATGGCTACTTACACTGCCAGGATGCAAACCAAGTTATCTTTCGGGGAGGGAACAAGCATCACATATTGATGGCCACTTACACTGCCAGGAAGCAAACCATGTTATCTACGCACCTTCATGACTTTAAGTGCAAACAGCTGTAGTTACGGTACTTATACTGTACGGTATAGCAGTACTTGGTAACACCCCTGATCCATTAAGTAACAGTGAAAGTTGTTTTTTGTTGGTTTACCTGGTTGCTTTGTATGAAAACCGTAGATTCCCTGTAAGCAGGGAAGGAACTTTGCCTCCGAGGCAGCCAGAATTTGCTGGACCCTTACCCTTAAAATACTTAGAAACAATTCTTAATTTTTGGTTATTATAATCCCTAAGAAACAGCTAAAATCATGATTTTTGCTAGGGTTCTAAGTTCAGTATAGTACCTCTGAGACTCAGCAAATGCAGATGTCCTGTGCCAGCCCTAAACCCGAACCCCACATGCAGCGTGCCCTGCACCCCATGCCCTAAACCGTGAACACTAAATTGTCCATACAGCCTAAGCCCTAATCCCCGAACCCTAAACGAAGTATACAAGCTCAGCCCTAAATTAAACTCGACACCCTCAGCCCTAAACCCTGAACCCTGAAGAAACCTACAAGCTCAAGCCCTAAAGTGGAAAACCCCGAACCCCAAATACATCCACACTAAGCCAAGCCCTGACCCCCGAACCCTAAACAAACCTTACATCTTAGACCCATGCTCTGGCCCCAAGCCTATAAACCTTGCACCGTTGGCCCTAAACCAGGTGTCCAAGTCCAGCTGAAGGATGTGCAGCAGATCCAGGACCACCCTACTTAAAGCAGTTTCAGGGGGCTCTTGGGTTTCTGGGTATTCAGGGTTTAGGGTCAGGGGGGTCATCGTCAATGTCGGTTTAGGCTCCGTAAGCTAGGGTTAGAAGTTAGTTGCGCCTGAGCTCGGTGTGCTTTGGTAGTTATTCCCCAGACCTTTAACCCTAAAGGGAACTCCAGAAAGTTGGAATATGGAATAATGGTAGGATCCCCTGTAATTTACCTTAAATGTGTTACGATAATGATATTCCAACTTTCTGGCTTCTACTGTAAATCCTGAACCCCGAACCCCAAACCCTGAACTCGGCTCTTCTCCTCCGGGATTTAGGGGAAAGGAAGAGCCTGGGTCGTTGGAGGCCTACAGTACCTATAGTCTCCATTGTAGTTCCTTTTTTGGTTTAACCAATTCTATATTAAGGATCCCTAAAGGTAACCCCCAAAAGGAACTACAATGGAGACTATAGGTAGAAACTCCAAAGTTGGAAACCCAATAAAGGGAACTCCAGAAAGTTGGAATATGGTTTCAGGGTAGGATACCTTATAATTTACCATAAAGGGCTTAGGATAATCATATTCCAACTTTCTGGCTTTTACTTTAACCTCAATCCTTAAGAGTAATGTACAGGGAAGCCCAGCACTATTTGGCCTTCCAACTTTATGTAGTTTACTGGAGTTGGGCGTCCAGATGTACCTAGAGGGTCATACCCTACCCCTTTTGAAGAGTACCTGGTTTTGTAGTTAGGATCTCCTATATATAGAAAAGTAGGTCCCTTTAAAAAGGGGAGTAGGGTATGAGCCTATATGTATGGGAGAAAGAGCAGTCTATGCCTGTTTACCTTCAGTTTCGAACCCTGACCTTCCAAAATCCCTTAATTAAGGAATATACCTTAAACGGTTTAGGGTTTAGGGTTTAGGGTACCTTAATTCATATTGGGGATCCTATTAGAGTTTAAGGTATACTCCTTAATTAAGGGATTTTGGAAGGTCTGGGAATTTCGATCCTGCAGCCCAAGCCCGGAGGCCCCCACACTGTTAAGCCCTAAATCCCCAGGCCTTAGTTAAGAAGATGTCGAACGGTGGATGATAGAAATCCTTCATTCCCTTAAGGACCCCCAACTATGGGAATTATGGGACATTCCTTATTATGGGTCATGCAGGATTTATATCATCACCAGAAGTCGTCTGCCAGGCAAACTTTCCAGGTAAGCGACGGTTGCAGCACCACCCCCCCCCCCCTTTTCAGAGGATGTCTGCAGCACAGGCTTCAGGGTGGCCCGTCCCCAAGCACAGTGCAAACTTGAGTTGTGCTTGGTGTTATCGTTGCAAAAAACTATCCTCAATGTTACAGATATGTGTATTGTGAGTTGTTATTATTGTTGTCGTTATTACGCAGGCCAGCGACACTGCTTTTGCCGCCCTGCTTACGAGCGGCTCGCTGGTCCCCTTTGCTGCAAGAGACATGATTTCTCGGCCCTCCGGGTATGATTGAGTTCGTATTCTTTATGACTAGATTTCTAGTGTTGTTTTCCCTTGTATGATTGGGTTTGTATTCTGTATGACTTGAGTTTAAATGTGCTGTTTTCTTTTGTGTGACTGGAGTTGTACTCTTCATGTGTGTTGTTTATGTCTGCTGTTCGATTGCCCTTAGGGTGATGGTGTTAAGAGTGGGTACGTTCCGGCATGCAAGTTTTGGGCGGATTTAGGGCCTAGAGGCCTGGAAACTGGTTGCGATTCAGGACCACTTGTGCCACACATGATGTCTTCATGGACCACAGTTTTGCAACAAAAGCACCTTGATTTGCCGGCAGGTTATATGACGCATGCTTGTACGTTCATAGCAGACTATACACCAAAGAAAAGCCTGCGAAGATAGAATGCTGCAACTACACTGACACGGTTTAAGGTATACCTTACCTGGAATAACCTACCTTTTCAGGGTTCCTTATTAATCCTTAAACCCAAAGCCCTAAATCCTGAAACCCTAAGCGCGACTCAAGGCCTATTTGCACATTATAAATAGGCCTTGAGTCATAAAGCTCTAAGTTCGAGGGATCAACGTCACCACTCCGAGAGAGGACCAAGCCTGAGCCATGCAGCTCTCGACCCACGGACCCCCCCTAAAAACCCGTTTGACAGAGCCCTTATATGGTCGGCATCTATAGGTATAAAAGAGGGTACGCGGGGGGGTCTAGCACGGCTCTTCCGACACGGTCACTGCTTGTAGGGGTTCGGGTGTGTAAGGTTTGCAGGGCTTGTAGGGTTTATGGCTCAGGCAACCCGGATCTTTTCGCAGAAGTCTGCAGCCCAGGTAACTTGGGGCAATACTGAAGGTGGTGGCGACAGCCGCTCTGTGCGGGAAAAGCTTCTCTGGCGGAAGTGGCGGAGGATTACGGAGTCTAAGTTCGCAATTGGTACCATTTTTACGTTTTGCCTTGGGGTTCCTTTCAAAAGTTTGCAAATCCTCTCAATGTCTTAGGAAGACTGCGCGATGTGTTCTTCTGAAGGGCTACTGATAAGAATGCAGGAGTCCGCCAAGCGACACTGCGGCTGTCCAAGTCCTGCTTTCGTGGAGGCTTTCTGGATAGCCAAGCAGGATCATAGCCGCAAGCCCTACAGCTTAAAGTCTGCGAGCGGGGGTGCACTTCGGAAAATGGAATTGGTGGTGAGAGCATCTTATGTATGCCATGTGAGTTCTAGTGACAAGCACCATACTACATACTTGTACAACCGTTTGTGAAAGCAGCTACAAATGCTTCGTACTTGATCAGCAGCTGGGCTGCTAGAGTACAACATTCCAAGCCAAGACTTGTCGAAGTGAGACCTTAAGCCCTAAACCGTGAGAACTGAGAAATTCCTACATAAGGGTTTAGGGTTTAGGGTTTAGGGTTTAGGGTTTGGGGTTTTGGGGTTTGGGGTTTAGGGTTTAGGGTTTAGGGTTTAGGGTATAACCCTGCAATACCTTTTCACACTAATTCTTTCAGCCTGTGAGGCCTAGAAATCTCGACAAAGTGCCCATGAATGCATCATGACTCCGTTTTGGAACCCCAAAAGCGCAGACAAGCCGCAGATAGCCGCAGCAATTGGTACTAGTATCCCCTTATGAAAAAAACGGTACCCCAACGCCGATCGAAAGCCTTACCTTAGCCCACCCCCTCAATAACCTACCTTTAAGTACTGTAATAGAGAAATCATCATAAGGAACCCTAAAGGGTAGGCGGTCCAGGTAGGGTCTGCTATGGTTCCTTCATAGGGACCCTTAGGGGTGTAGGGGGAGGGGGGGTAGGGGGCCTTAATGCCCATAATAAGGACTAATAAGGGCTATTTAAGGAAATATAGTCCCCTACACCCTCCCCCCTACACCCCTAAGGGTCCCTATGATTCCTGCAAACCCCGAACCTTAAGGATCCTAAATCCCTGAATCCGTAAATCCTTATACTTAGGGGTACTTAGAAATATTTTTTTTAATTTTTGGTTATTATAATCCCTAAGAAACAGCTAAAATTATATTTTTTGCTAGGGTTCTAAGTTCAGTATAGTATAAGTACCTTGGGATCCAAGAACCCTGCCTATAGTCTCCATTGTAGTTCCTTTTTTGGGTTACCTTATAGGAGCCTGAATATATATTTGGTTAAACCAAAAAAAGGAATTACAATGGAAACTATAGGTAGTGACAGGTAGTGTTTTACGGGTTATATCCTGTAACTACGAGCTAGACCCTGCAGTTATAAGGGGTCATAAGCTACTACTTCGTTTGATCTGTAGGGTTTGGAGCTACAGGGAAGCGCAAGACCCACTCTACGGCCCGAAAGAGTCAAACACCACAACCTGTGCAGGATCTTTCGGAATCTCACAGACGGAAAGATGCCCGGGCGAGGTGGGACGGTTCAGGGTGCGGGGTTCTAGATGCTGCCAGAATTACAAGGAGTTTTCTGCGGGCTTTGTGAGAGCGTCCGTGAAGGTTCTGTAAGAGTTTCGGTGGAAGTTCAGTTTGTGTACTGTTCCAGTTTGTGAGATTCAAGGTTTTTGATTTGGGTTTCTGTGATTAGGGTTCACGATTTCGGGAACGTAAAGGACGTGCGCATGAACCAGCGTACAGAGCAGAAGCAAGCATTCGCTTGTCGTAGCTAGCAGTAAGTGTGGCAACGACTAGCACTTCTCGGCACGTGAGCTTCATCGTGTTTCAGAAATAGAGGACCCCGATACACACGACTCGTATTCCTCAGTAAATAGTACCGGTTTCGGAGTAGCAATGTCATATAGTTTCAGGGTTCCTGTAGAATCGCAGATATATGTAGGCTTCATGCATCATAGCCTGTTGGTGTAAACCAGCAATCCGTTATCTAGGTAAGTGAAGCCTTAGGGTCTGGTATGAATAAAGGGGCCTGAATGAGAACCAAGATTATTCCATAGGGTTCGCCATTATGAGTACACAGCACAATTACACCAAACAACGATTCATATTATTAAGGCTCCTATAGTACAGTACCCTTATAGATGCATTATAGTAGCCCTTATAGACCCCTTCAAAGGGAACCCTATTAAAATTATCAAGGCCTCTATAGCACCCGAAGGAGCGAGCCAGATCCTCCAGCTGTCGATATGTGAGATGCCACGGACGCCGGTGAGGAAAAGTTGCTACGTGCGGTGGGTCTGGGTATATAGGGTTCCTTTAAAGGGATCTCTAGGGTTCCTTTAAAGGTATCTAGAGGGGGGATCTATAAAGGGGGGGGCTGTTGCAGCATACAAGTAAGTAGTTTGCAGTCCAAACCGCAGGCTCTGGCATGCATATGTACACAGTTTTGAGACAATGAATACTAGAAGTAGTAGATAAGCCCTGAGAAAATTCGGGCTGCAAAGCTTCGCCCTGCAGCTCCTAGACCTCAACCGTAAACTCCGCAAACGCTAAGCCTGGTTGCTGCACGCGGTCGGAAAAGAGCCTACACCCTAAACAGACGACAACGACTTGGTTTTCGTGACTACAATGGCTTTGGATACAGACCCAGAGCTGAGTTTTGGAGCTTTGAAAGTTGAGGCGTCGAAGAGTTCAAGGGGAACCATATAGAGGTGTGTTTTGTATTAGTCTTATGGTGTTGTTCCCGAGGGTTCCAGGGGAACTACTCAGGGTTTATGATCAGATAAGAGTGCTTCTCTGATTCCCTGCTATAGTAGATCCCTAAACCCTAAACCCTAAACCCTAAACCCTAAACCGTAACCCTAAACCCTAAACCCTAAACCCTAAACCCTAACCCTATTCTAACTTCTCGGGCCCCTATGGAGAGCGATCTCTCGAATCCTTCTCTATTAAACTCTATTGGCTTCAACGAGGCAGCGCCCGATGCGCAGGCTGCCGGTGGAGGGTGGAGGGCATTGGGATGTGAAAGGTTGGGGTTTAGGTACGCAGAGGTTTTAGGGTGTTAGAGGTTTACGGCTGTATCTGTATGGCAAGGAGGGTTGAGAGCTTTAGGGGTTTTGATGTGGGTCGGAAAAGTGTGTTCTCTTCCGGTTGGTGGACAGGGTTTCCTCCTATAGAGTTTAAGATAGAGCTTTACCACAGAGTCTCTGGGTGTCCTTACAGTTGCTGGTATGAGTACAGACTGATCTATCCCACCCTCGAAGTCTCCACAGATCACCCGCATCAAAGCGAAGAAGCTCAGCTGCGGAAACGTGGTGCGCTGGTCACAGAATCTCGGGTGCTGGAACCACTACTGCTGTACGCGTGGACTTTGCCTCCCATCCAGGCCCCAGGTGGCACGAACGACGTGGGGGATGCAATGATGCTCAATTCGCCTCGAGGAGCTCGCGCCTTCAATGCCACCCCACCTCGTACACACCTTGCTGTGGTTTCCTGCGGCGGTGAGCGATACTCTGGGCCGTCAGGCATGACGGCTCGGTCGCCGGTGTCCGCTTGCTCCTTGCCGCTAAGGCGCTAAGACTTTCAATTCGCTCTAGCCTCGACCCCACGGATGGCCATTGCCGCAATCCGACTCCGTTCTGATCATGATGATCCCTGTCAACGGGTTTAAGGTTTGTAGGTCAGGCCGTAGTACTGGAGGTTAAGTTAGGGGTCTAAGGCTTGCGGGTTCAGAGTTGAAGAAGTTTAGTGTCGCTTGTAAGGTCTATAGTACTCTATAGGACTAGGATTTGTACAGGATGTGGGGTTTATGGTTCGGGTTTTGGCCTCGACATGATGAACCTAGACCGTCCCATAACTCGCATCTAGTACACCCTAAATACCACTATTAAGGACCATAAAGGACCATAAGAGCTCTATTAATGGGCATTGGGGTCCTGTCAGTGCGTTATGAATTTAGAGCTTAGGTTCTGGCATTTTTCTGTTCGTCGGAAGGCAGCCTCCCACTGCCTCTTTTCACAGCGCGGCATCGCCGAGTGGGTAGCGCCCTTGGAAGACTTGGTTCCCAAAGTAGACCCGCAATAAGTAAGGTAACCAAGTATGTCTATATATATATACACACACACATATTGGCTTATTTAGATATTGACTTATGCATACGTTTATCGATCTGCCATCTCAGTTAAAGCATAAGTCTTCTGAAACGCCCATGGTGCTGGGGCTTCATAATTTAATGTCTTCGTGGTTCATGTCAGTTTTTCTGAACCCATTGCTTGACCCCCAAACGGGACTTTCGTGCGAAGGCTGAAGCAGTGTTTGACTATAAGATGTTGCCGCCCTGGGCGAAGCATCGCCAAACTCAAAAGCCTGAACCCTTGGTTCCCCCCCCCCCCCCCCACAAGCTTCCGCACGCGAAGTCCCATGCCTTTCAACCCTTATGTTAACCCCCCAATAACCATGTTTTGTTGAGGACTTATGTAATGAACTCAGAATATGGACCCCCATAACCGGTATGTGTTATAGGGGCCAGGTAAGGCCTATACTATGGGCCGATAAGTCTCGAAACCCAAGCTGAACTTTCTCACCCTAAACCCCAAACTCCTGGTGGCTTTCCTCTCCCTCAACACCCTGAACCCTCAGCCCTATAAACCCTAAACACTGAACAACCCTACTAAACTAAAGGTGGCGTTCCTCCACTCACCGGATGAGTACCTCTCCAGCGGAAAGGGCCTGCGTGATGTCGAGACTGAGCTGCTGGGTGTGGGGCCCAGAGAGATGGATTTCGTAGAATTATGAGAGCTTAGTGTCTAGTTTCTACCAAGCCCATAGTAGTAGTGTGATGTAGCTCGTACTTATACGCCTTTAGGTTAAGTGTAAGCACTCTGATGATCTTCAAGATAGCTTGTTGTTGCTGACGCTGTAAGGGGAAGAGAGCACTCTCCAGACAATATGCCTGAACCCCAAATAGCCTGGCGTTAAAAGGACTTCGACAAGGAAATCTCAATAAGGAGCCCTAGAAGGGGTAGGTTTAACAGGGTCCAGGCACTCTATACACATTGCTCTAGTTTTGTCTAGCTTCGCCACTTCGAGTCTTGTTAGAGTTTAGGGATTTAGGGACTATGACGGGTCACGGTTTAGGGTTTGTTGAGTATGTGCTTAGGCACATACGTACATATGTATATATATATATATGTATGTACACACACATGGACTCTAGATTCACGCGCTTATGTAACCCTAAACCCTGTATTCTAAACGCTGAACACTATAAGCCCGAAACCTGAGACGCTAAAGTCTGCACTCGAAGCCTACAGCAGGAGCCTTACCCAAAGGCTCCGATGTACTGTTATGGGGGATACTTCCCCAAATCATACTAGTAATTCCTAAAAAAAACTCACATTCTACTATATCGGTACTTTGGACCCTTTGGGTTAAATTTAAAATCAAACCCAGCACCGCGACCCCTAGGAGCCGGAAGCCCGAAGCTATACCCTATCCCTCCAGGGACCTCATTGTTCGGGCCCTAGACCCCTTAAGGACCCCATAATAAGGTCCCTGGAGGCATAGGGATAGGGTTTAGGGTTTAGCTAAGCCTATACTAGAACCCCTCAAACCAAGCATCAGGGTAAACGCTGGACTTACATGTATGTAAACCCTAAACCCTGACTCTTCTGGGCTTAAGGTGCCGGTTCCCGTTAGACTTAGACAGTGAACCTAAATGCGAGTGTGATCCTTAATGTCAGGACCCTTCCAAACCATAAAGGGACGGACGGTTCTTAGAAGCATCCGAATAGGGCTGCTGGGATACTTTGACTGGGGTCGAGCTTTTGAGGCTCGTTGAAGGTGGGATTTGGTTTGCAGGTTTGTGGGGGTGGATTTTAGGGTCTTGGGTGTCGGCTTTTGAGCTGGTAGCTGTGGGACTTGGATAGTTGGAATAGCATTCTGGGGCACATCATTGATTCAAGTTGGTTTTAGGTACTGTTCTGGCGTAGGTTATGATGTGTGGCACTTTTCTTTTGTATAATCATTTTCTTTCATAGTAGGGTTCGGTGTTCAGGCTTGTTGGCTCTGGTTCTTGTCCTGGCTTTACATATGTCTGAAAAACCAAACACGTTAAAATCCCAACCTCGAAATGAAAACCCTAGGCCTAAGAACCCTCAGTCAGGTCCATGATATAAAGCCCTATATCCCGGAAGAGCCCGACACCCTAAGACCCGCAAGAACCCTAAGAACCCCAAGCCCAGCTCCCAAAGAACCCTAAACCTAAACCCCCGACAGAGTTCAATGTTCGTTGTGTTTCAGTCGAGGCCCTTTGAGGCCACTCCGTGAGCAGAACTTGGCCGCGGTGGATGTCGCTTCTACCGCAGTGGAGGGTTTGGGGCTCTGAGGGTTTTGGGATCCGGGTTTAGGGCTCTCAGGAGTTTCGGGCATCTGTTTTTTGAATTAGGTACCGTGGTTGGGTTGCGTGGTTCTTAGAAGGACCCATGAACCCTAAGTAAACACCAACACCCTAAACTAAATCCCAAACCCTAGTCCTGAACTCCAGACCATGACTAGACCTTACATTTTTCAACCGTTCAAGGGGTCGAGGGGTGTGGCCAGAAGAGCATCAGGTGCTGAGTAGGGAACCTTTTACCTGTTTTGGTGCCGTAAACTAAGGTTGACCCTCTGGGCCAGGGTACTCAGTCCCTATAAGGGACTCATTTTGTTGAGGGAGCTGGGGTTAAGGCGTCGGCCCACTCAGACCACTGTATTTATTGCATGTTTTTGTGTGCGTGTGTGTGCTGGGTTTTGGCTTTAGTGTGTTGCGGGCGTGGGCCTAAGGTGCTGAACTCTGAACCCTGAACTACTGCCCTATACCCCAAAATTCCCCAGAGCTCTAAACTCCATCACGTGGTGCTCTCCTGGAATCATTGGAAAAGGCCAAACATTCAGGTCACCATATTATTTATTCACGTCAGATCCTGATTATGGTAACTTAATCTAGGATGCCCAGTAGTACCCTGATTCCCTTTTTGTAGTCCTAGGTTCCTTATAAAGTTACCCAATGCCAAAAAGGGAGCCCTTTTTTTCCTAGGTGACCGGGCATCCTAGTAAGCCCCTACACCCTAAACCCTGAGATAGTACCCTAAATAGTGGGATCCTTATTATAAGCACCCCAAAATAAGGTACCCTTATAGTACCCTTATAGACCCCAGGTTACTGGGCATCCTAGCACCAGTCCAGGTCACCGCGATCTACTTCACTCGCTCCG